TAGCTGCTCGTTGCTCCAATTCCTGAATGAGACGTGACGTCTCCTCTGATGGCTTACAGATGAGTTCTTGCGCCATCATGACTGAGTTATGAATGTATCTCATGTAACTTGTTTATATCCGTCGCTGTCATGATTTTTAATGACTTGTCACGTGTGATTTTAATAAAATTTTTTATTTAAAGGGAAGACCGCATTTGCGATTCTTTCCCCCCCTCGACATTATCAGAATATGAACAGTTTTGCGCACATTTGCAATGGAAACGCAGCTTCATAGAGAATATGAAAACAATAAAAACAAAGTGCAGCTTTGTCTTTTTTAAGCACGTGTAAGTATGAATGGTGAAGGTTTAGACTTTCCTAAATGCTTTAACGCAGTCCAGAACGGTGCAGGATGCCATGCCAGGTATTCCGGCCCAACTCCGATCCACGCCGGATTCCGCTCCTCTTCCAGCAGCCGAAGCTTTTAAAGACGAGCCAGCGCTCCTTCAGAGGGTTTCACATCAAAGACCACCAAATCAGCAGAACGTTGTGGGGCTTTGTGCTGATTTTGGCGCGTTTTTACAGCAGAGTGATAAACGCTCATGAACAAACAGGGAATGAAGGTTAGAGGATAATTCCTTCTTCAATACAACTAACAGAATCTACTCTGTTTTCATACAGCCAGTGTTTCAACAAACATCTCACTGCTGAAGCACAAGTCAGGGTTTACAGCAGTGGTAACTGAAAGATATGACCAAATCCAGCTGGTGTTGGGAAACACACACTCTTTGGCTGAGGATGCACATTTACAGACAGACAAAGGTTGTGTGTGTGTGTTAAGGAAAGAATATTCCACACTGGTGCAGCATGAAATATTACAATTATGTCAAATACACAATAAGACACCAGTGAGCCAGTTCTCCATACCAAAGCTTATCAGGAAATAAATGCTGGCATCAAGAAAAATCAAACACAAGTTTTCTGTCCCTGAAGTTTCAGAGTTAAACAATCCAGAAGAGGCATGGGCCTGCACGGGTCACAACCATGAGCAAAAATGCAGCAGTTTCATTGTATTGTGACAGACTACTAGGGGGCTACAATACACCCCCCACAATTAAATAATATAGTTATTCAAACTTTAAATACCTACAGGGTATTATTTAAAAAAAACAAAAAAAACATGTGTTTTTGGGTTTACTGGTTGTTGATTTCATTTGGAAATGCATAAATGATGTAATAAGATCTAGCTCCTGGGTTGTCATGGTTGCGCCACCACAGTATTTACATAATTTATAGCAAAAAAAAAAAAAAACTACTATATTAAAGTAATGACATCTATTGCTCTTTAGACATTACTACACAGATGTGTAGAACAAAACAGAACCACAGCACAGGGTGGTCTCGTTACTACAGAGGCTCCGGTGTCTCATAACAGACTCTGTATCCCTCAAGTTGATAAAATACCATGCAAAGTGGTGGAAAAAACAATACTGATGCGGATGCAAAATTTGCTCTCTTGGGATTTTTTTTTTTTTTAAGTGAAAGGAGCAAATTGAGTTTTCAGAAGTCAACTTTTCAAGTTCAGATTTCACCTCGTGTTTTAGTAATAGATGAAAAGGCATCCACTAACATTTACATATCCATTATTTCAGCCAGCTGTGGTGTAGTAAGCAGCCAGAGGTGGGAGAAGGGCGTGTGTGTGAGTTACTGTGTGTTTCAATGAGCCGAAGAATACTGCAGTCACTCTAGCACATCCTCCTCTGTCTCATTACAAAGACTTTCCTCTACAGGAACCAGCCCGGCCCATGCCTGTTCCACAACATGAGAAAATAAATGTTTACAGCAGTACCTTTCAAATATTTTAGAACCGTAAGACATTGAGTATCCAATGGAGTTTTTATCACAATTTTATAAAATTCAAAGAGCTTAAGTTGGGGCTGGGCATTTATCACATCTTTTATATATTTCGAGAAAATTTTCTTTGAAGAATTTTGATTTACGGTAATTACAATAATGACTCTTGAAAATTAAAAAAAGAAAGAAAAAGTGTTACCATTTTTCCACTGTTTGTTCCATGAGATCATCAATAAATATTAAAATATGGTCAAACGCAGTGACAGTGTGTAGTCAACGGATAGAAATCACACTTCTCTAAGAAACTGCCATCAGGAACAGGCCTTTTTTGTAAAGCAGTATTTGTGTTAGTGGGGCTGTGATTACCGTCATGCAGCCATTCAGCTTCCTAAAACAGATTGTAAAGTAATAATAGTTTAGCACTTGTATCATTATCACAATAGCACCATGAAATATTGTGATAAGATTTTAAGTCTATCGCCTACCTCTAACTCAAACCACAAATAGTAAAAAAAAAAAAAAAAAAAGGAGGTATAAAAACATAAATAATACATCTGGTTATTATTGACCGAGTGTCCGAACAGGAAGTCACCTTCAGGTCTGAGTTTTCAGAGAAAATGCTTGAGCTGCAACAAGTGGCAACATCTGAATCCGTTTCCCACTGGTTTTCCCTTTCCTGATACATTTTCAACAGTTGTCATAATTTATTGGCTTTTTTTGAAAGCGTGATGCATCAGTGCTGCACTTAGCTTCAGTATGTTTTCACCACTTGTTGCACTTCCAAAATACAAAAATAAACAAACGTTGTGACGCCGAGACACCTGAGAACTCTGTGAAAGACTGAAGGCAAAAAGAAGCGAAGCGGCAAAGATGGAGGCTGATCAGAGGTAAACTAAACAGCTTTCGTTTCTCTGATTCTTAGAATCTGCCCTTCATACAAAACAATAAAGATAAATAAATAAAAATAGTTCAACCCAACTTGAAACAGCAATAAAGGAGCTGCTGATGTGCAGCTTTTGGCAGCAATTAAAAGCTCATGGATCTGGTTTCAAAAAGGAATCACTTCAATTAGGAAACGGAATTTTGCCAGTCCAAAAACACAAAAAAACAAAACAAAAAAAAAATACAAAGATCGTTCAGCTAAATTACAGAATATATTTACCACTAAATTCCCATTTCAGCTCATCTTAGGAGTGTAGCAGAAGACAAATATTTTAGATGATTAGAGGCTGTGTAGCAGCTTGTACACCTACAGATAAATCCTAACGTGTCTCACACCTTGAACTCGTTCACCTTCCATCACAATTCAGTCACAATGTATTTACATAGGATTGTAGGTGAGAGATTGGCACAAACTAGTGCATAATAGGAGTCCACTGATTGTAGTTTTCTGACAGATCACCCATCATTTAAAAGCCTGACCTGCCGATTTAGATTTTGACTTAATGCAAATTCTTTGGTCTAGAAAGTCCAAAAATATATAGATATACTATATATAAATATAGTGACAAAAATGTTAAGTATGCATTCATACCAGCCCTGTTCAGTCCTCATTAACCACAAAAGCCGTTATTCCAGCTAGCATTAGACTCGCCTCATACAACCAAAATAGAGAGGCGAGTCTAATGCTAGCTGGAATAACGGCTTTTGTGGTATTTTACCAACACCAAAAGAAAAATCCTACAACTAAAATCTGATTTTGGTTTTATGAAGAAAGAAGCTCCTCTCAATATCTTCAGAGGTTTTCATGTCATTTCCCTTCATGTCATTTCTTGGTACAGCGCCTCTCTACAGGCAAGGAGGGGAACAGGTCTTTCAAAGGGTTTGGTTCGTTTGACACACTGTAGTGTGAAAGAAAACTGTATCAGCTGAAAATAACAAATGTTGCAATTTTGGTCCCCAGTCAAACTGAGTCTAACAGACTATCAGGTGGGAAAATAAACCAAGTCGGCAAAAGTGAAGTGACTGTTAATCACTCGTGTGCAGAGGTGACCTGCTGCACCTGCTGATTTTCAGACCTTCAGTCACCCATCACCCAACATGAAGGAAATCAGCACCGATTTATCGCTGCATCTCTTATCCACAGTAGTGCAGAGAATTATTTATTCAACTCTCATGACCCAAAACTTTGTAGAACCAATTTTAACTGCAGTTCCAGCTGCAAGACTTTTGGGATACGTTTCTTACAGTTTTACACATTGTTCAATGGGAAGAAATCAAGGGGCATGAAATCTTTCGAAAAGCATCATGTATACTGGATATATCTCAGTAGGTGTACCTGGACTAAACCAGTGGCTAAATACATTTTTCAGCAGATGAGGTAGGTGAATTCCTTTACATGTCCCTGATAAAAACCTGCAGGTTAAACTCTTCTGGCTACTCTAATAATCTAATCAACTGATTTAATTTTGATTTTTCACCGTTTTAGTCAACTAACCTACAAAAACAGCCCTGTACCTGCAGGATGAAGTGACGTCATTTCCTATTATATTCCTTTTTCTTTTGTAATTTGGCTGAACGTATCCTTGAACAAAACACAGGAAGATTATGCACCAAGCAAGAACAGACAGCTTCTAATAAGAGAAAAGACCAGAAAAAACAAAACCCAAACTGATTTATCACAGTGTTCGCAAAAAGACAGACAGTGTTTCTTTTTCTCTGCAACTCAACTTGTAAAGGCAAACAAAAAAAAAAATAATAATAATAATAAGACATTGCTCACTTAGTTGGCAGCACAAAGAGCACATGACAAGCTGTCCATGGCTTGTGTGGGACGTACACTGTAAGTGGGAGCAAACAGGCCAGCTTTTCCAGGCCTCATTCCCTGTCCTGAGCTCCCTCACACCACATACTGGTAGGTCTCAGCCTTGCCGTGGTCAGGGGTGGAGAAGGGGCTTAACCACAATAAAGAGAAATGGTGTCCAAAAACCGCCCTCATGTTCATCCACTTAGTTTTTTTAGCCCATCTTCGCTCTTCCTTTTTCAACTGCTCTATGCCCTGAAAACGAGAGACAACCAAATTTGAGTTTGCATGTTTTCGTCTGGTAAAATTATCTGCGAAAAAATGATTAGGAATTTGGAAATAATAGAACATATTTAACACGACTGCAAAGATCACACCATAAATTTTTGCTGGATGATAAATTGTCCCAGTAATTATTGCGATAAGTGATTGTATTGTTGTTTTGAGACAATTTAATGGTAATATTGATAACTGCATAATGATCCAAGTTTGCCCTCCCAAAGATCAATGAACTTTCATTGTGTACAGAACACTTAACACTGGAACTGGAAGATATATTAAATATTCAATATAAATAAACAACCAGAAACAATAAACAGAAATAAAAAAAAACACACTCAACTGAAACCATAAAAAATTTAATGATGTCGTCTGTAAGAAAATTACCCTTTGACAAACATTAAAATAAATATGATTAAGTTAATTTTAATTTTTTAAATGAAATTAGCTGTAGGCTGCTTGTTATAATTACTTCACAGTATCGTTAAGAATAAATAAGATTTTTCAATGAACACATTAAAACTTGATGGTTTTTATTAAGATTATTGTAGGTTGTAAAATTTCTGAGCATCTACTAAAAGCGTTCCTCCACCTGCCGCCATGAAGCAAGAACATTTTAACTTCCACCCCTGATTCCACTCCAGCAGGTGGAAATATTGTCAAAATCAACTACATTAAAACTGAAGAGATAACGAGAACAGCTGAAGCAATGCTAGGCTAAAGATCCTCCATAAAGCTATAAGTTTAATAGAAACGGAACAAAAAAAAATAAAGATAGAAAAGAAACGGAGACAGATGTCGGAAGAAAACATAAAAGCAACTTCACTGTTATGGCTTAAACCCCGACTGGGCAAAGTTGTGGAAAGTCACTGTCATTGTTTTGAATAGTCTCAGTACATCCAGCTCTCATGTACAGAGCACAAAAAGAGCTTTAAATATTTGCACTCTTTGAAATTGTTTTTTTTCATGAAAGCAACACGTTTCTTCTGCATGAGAGCTGCCAAAAACTACAGCAGGGGCAGTGAGGATAATGTAGCTGCTTGTGTCTTGCTGTCCTCTGAGCTATGCTAGCTCATTGACATGCTCACATTTATTTATATTTGGAGTTGCAGACAAAAAGAAGTTGAAAGCACAAGAAGAAATTTGGAAAGGTCAGTTTGTCCCATTAGCTCTTCAGCTGAGATTTATCTAAAAGATCCACACAACAATAAAATACGAACACAAAGACATAGCTTCAATATACGTCTACCTCCAGCATCACAATGTGATTACCTAGAGTAACAGGAAAAAGGTCATGAAGCCGATCAATGATCTGTGTCTGATGAGATGAAAAGGTGGGAAATAAAATGGAGGAGTGTGAGAATCAGACAGACTTTAACAACTGATGGGTTCCAGTTTGTAGGCAGCTGGGTCAGTATACCTGCTGTTCTTCTGGCAGGTTTTATAGTCTGAGTGATCAATACCTGCCAAAAGATTTTTATGTGGAGAATGTGTCTAATCATAGATTTATTCATACAGAACATCTAATGCATTCAAAAGAAAATGCAGCTGGGAAGCTGAACAATCCTGGTGCAATACTACTTGATGCTATTGGCTGATGTTTGCAAAGCAGCCAATGCAGGAGAGCAAGACAAGTCGTGCTTTTGAAAGGTTGTTGTTTTATTAAGATAATTATCTCAATCGAACAGTATCATTTTTTGTCGTGTTGAATCAAACACTTCTTTCAATCAAACTACATGGTGACAGAAGGGTGAATTCTATTGTGTCTTTATTTTCTTCTACATCTAAAATTAATCCAGCCTCTTGACCAAGATACACAACAGCCTCAAACTACAGACAATCAACCTCAGTAAACAGGTATTTTGTTGCCTTTTGGTGCCTCAAGAAACTTGAATCAGCCCTGTTTGAAAATCTGTAACAGACTTGTAAAATTATATTATCCTTCATTAAATATGGTTTGTTAAATCACCATGTGTGATTCATAATAACTATCATATATTTAAAAAAAATCTGAAAAAAAATGTTTTAGTGCTTTGGCATCTAAACTAGACCAGCAGTGAGAGTTTTTTTATTTGCTTCAATCAAGAGAAACACATTAAAAGTGACCAATGTAAAACTGACTGGAGACTTTGCTTGATTTTTATTAATTAATGAAGAATAAACAGGTAGATGGAGATACTGAAATGATTGGTTTAATGTAAATTCATGTTTTTGATTATAACATGAGAAAATGTGTTAAGCCTCCCTGGCAAAGTCTATTCAGGGGTCCTGGAGAGGAGGGTCCGTCTGATAGTCGAACCGTGGAATCAGGAAGAGCAGTGTGGTTTTCGCCCTGGTCGTGGAACACTGGACCAGCTCTACACCCTCAGCAGGGTCCTGGAGGGTTTCTACATGTGTTTTGTGGACTTGGAGAAGGCGTTTGACCATGTCCCTCGGAGAGCCCTGTAGGGGGTTCTCTGGGCGTATGGGATACTGGGCCCTTTGATATGGGCTGTTAGGTCCCTGTATGACCGCTGTCAGAGTCTGGTCTGCATTGTCAGCAGTAAGTCGGGCTCGTTTCTAGTGAGAGTTGGACTCTGCCAAAACTGCCCTTCGTTACTGATTCTGTTCATTACTTTCATGGACAGAATTTCTAGGTGCAGCCGAGGTGTTGAGGGGATCCGTTTTGGTGACCTTAGGTTCGTATCTCTGCTTTCTGAAGGATGATGTGGTCCTTCTGGCTTCATCAGGTTGTGATCTACAGCTCTCATTGGAACGGTTAGCAGCTGAGTGTGAAGCGGCCGGGATGAGGATCAGTGCGTCCAAATCCAAGGCCATAGTCTTGAGCCAAAAAAGGTCAGAGTGCCTTCTTTGGGTCAGGGGGGATGTCCTGCCCCAAGTGGAGGAGTTCAAGTATCTCGGGATCTTGTTCACGAATGAGTTCACTCAATTTACCGATCGATCTACGTTCCTACCATCATCTACGGTCATGAGCTTTGGGTCATGACCAAAGGAATGAGGTCAGGGATACAAGCGGCCAAAATGAGTTTTCTCCATAGGGTGTCTGGCCTCTCCAAGACACCCAATTGAGAAGCTCGGTCATCCAGGAGGGTCTCAGAGTAGAGCCGCTGCTCCTTCACGTCAAGAGGAGCCAGTTGAGGTGGCATGGGCATCTGGGTAGAATACCTCCTGGATGCCTCCCTGGTGAGGTGTTCCAAGCACAACCCACCGGGAGGATGCCCAGAGGAAGACCAGGACACACTGGAGGGACGATGTTCCTCGACTGGCCTGGGAACGCCTTGGGATTTCCTTGGAGGAGCTGGAACAAGTGGCTGAGAGGAAAGTCTGGGCCTCACTTCTTAGGCTGCTATCCACACAACGCGACCCCAGATAAGCGGAAGAAGATGGATGGCTGGAAAATGTGTTTCAAAAAGTGAAAATGTGCAAATATCCTTTTGCCAAAATAATAGACGTACAAACTTGTAGGCCTGTCGTGACAACACCAGGGTTTCCCCAGTGTATTATAGACCTGACGGCCCGCCATACTTTACTTGTGCCACCGCCAGGCTAAGCCTGTCTTGTTTATGTTTTTAGGAAAATAATAATTACAAAAAGAAAAAAAAAAGTAACACTTTATTTGAAGGGGTGTGAAGGGGGACTGACATGACATAACACTTGTCATAAACATAAAGAAGTCTTTATGAATGTCTATGACAGTTGTCATGAAGTGTCATTCGGTAAATAATGACACTTTTAATGCAAAGTTGCTCTAAAAGTTGCATTGAAAGTCCATTAAAAATGCCAACTTTGCATTAAATTATCATAATTTACAAAATCATGCAAAGTTGGCACTTTTAATGGACTCGTATTTTAAATTCCTAAAAAGACAAACAAAGCAAACAAAATAAATAAAATAGAAATAAAAACCACACACAACTTAAATCATAAATGAAACGGATCATGGGGGAGTTTGTAAACAGTTTCCATTCAGAAAGTATTAATCAATCAGAATGGAAGTTATTGAGCTCCTTTTAATTTATCATGCTATTAATTGATTTATGGATTATTGTGACAAGCTTTCCAACTTGACTGAAAAGGTATGAGGGAACAGCAGATTGTTGTAGCAGCATAGACATCCGTTTATTCTTTATTGTGATAATTACGGAACTAACCAGCAACCTGCAGAGCAAACAGCACAGCATCAAGCTGTGAAACCCATGCAGCTTTATTTATATAAAGAACTAAATCAGTTCCTTGAGCTGTTATCAAAGTCGGTCCTCGAGGACCGACTCTGGGCACTCCTGTGTTATCTGAAAATGAAAGTGTCCATCTGGCAAAGCACTGCTGTAGTTTCAAAACGGGTGAACAAAAATTTGCACAAAATCAAAATAAAAACAACTTATTCTTCAAACCTGGTAAGCATGTTTTTGGTGAATATCAGAACTTGAAGGTCAAAACTGACTAAGTAAGGCAGAGCTGAGGGAAGGTCCACCGAGGACAAGGAAACCACAGGAAGTTATGAGAGAAGAGCAAAGGAAAGTCAGTCTCCACTGAGCGGGTAACTTACTGTCTCATCGGTACAGATGGAGTGGACCTGGGTGCCGAACATCACAGAGGTAAAGATGAGGAAGAGGAGGCCCTCAAAGCACAGGAGGATGAGGAGGATGACTGTTGCTGGAGGAGAGAAGGAGCTGCACTCTGGGTGATGGAGGGACATGGAAGTGAAAGGGCAAGTCAAGGGTTAGATGAAGAACTAAACGCTCAAGTCTCTTCACAGATACAATGACTTCCTGTTGACTGCTGCAGTAAAACATTAACACTTCAATCAGGAGGTTCACAACTGAGGGCGGATCATTTTACTTTATATAAAGACAGATTTCTAATTTAGGCAGTTCTGCAAACCAAAGTACTAACAGAAATAATTTAGGTAAAACCTGATTGACCTGTTTTGATCATCTTGTCAGCATTCTTAATTACTTTAGAGTTTAGGTCAGAGGTCACCAACCTTCTAGCAGAGTTAGATTATAGTACTGAACTACACACTTCTGAAATTTGATCAGTTTACTTTTTTTTTAACCTTTGAGTTGCTAGTTTTTACATTTTATTGTGCTTTCCTGCACAATAACAAAATGAATTCTGATTGTGATAACCAAATGTTTTATCCATCTTCAGAATCTGATCACATTTATTATTTCTCATAATTATCAACAGGGACCTAATGTAGGAAACAGACAAATATCAGTTCGTATCACTTTATATCAACATCCAATTATTTCTCACAAATCATGCAGCATCATGTTTGAGACAAATCTTATCACATCTTGTAACCATGTAATAAATCCACTATTTCAATCACTATATTGAAATAGTGTAGTGTATTTACATTATAACACTAGTGTAATAGTGTATTTAAATTGTATTGGAAATAAAAAAAAAATGTTTTTGGAAAAAAATAAGTTTGGGTATTATTATGTTTTAAGTTTTTGAATCACAACAACTTCTCCCTTTTTTAAATAAGAGTATGCACATTTGAAATCTCTTGTAAACACACTAACACAGACATTAATCTAAGCCCAATAATTTTATTTTATTGCTTAAATGTGCAGAACTATTATAAAGAGATTCTTGCAGCATAGATGCAGGTTTGCTTTTGAATCTAGATCACTGAGACAAGGTGCAACAGAAGAAGAAAAACCCACTCACTTGTCCAATCATCTTCAAAGCAGTAGAGGAAATGGAAGACCACCATGACCAGAGAATGCAGAGAGATGAGTGCAATGTACATCTAGGTCCAAAAGGAAACAGTGGTGAGACCATGTGGTGAAACATTTTACTATAAAAAATAGCCAGCTTCCTGACAACCACTGAGAAACTGTGTCAAGTTAAAATGGAAGCATTACAGAAGTAAGCAGTTAACAGGCTTTCATGTCAAACATCCAGATTTCCAGCTTTTCAATGTCATTTTTAAAAAGCAAATAGATGCAATAATAGAGTTTTCCTGTGAACTTACTGTGAAAAGAACAAAGTACTTTTGGTTGTTTTCCCCAACACAGTTGTTGACCCAGGGACAGTGGTGGTCCATCTTCCGTATGCATCGTTTGCATACACTGGGAATCAGACGGAGAGAAGGAATTCAGCTCATAAAGCAGCGATGGATTATGTTACATTTATCAGGACAAAATATATCTTGATAAATGTATCAGGTTCTCTTGAGGTAATATTGTTCCTCAGAAAGTAAAACACCAAACTAAAAAATGGTTTTAAGAGATAACATACATCAGTGTATGTAAACACACACACACACACACACACACACACACACACACACACACACACAC